AAACTATGCAATTGGAGCCGTTTTATCTCAAGGTCCTGTCGGAGCTGATCTTCCCATTGCATACGCATCAAGAACATTAAACCCAGCTGAATGTAATTATTCGACGATTGAAAAAGAACTTTTAGCAATCGTATGGGCAACAAAATATTTTCGACCTTTTCTTTTTGGTAGAAAATTCACAATCCTGTCTGATCACAAACCTCTACAATGGCTATTTAATATTAAAGAACCAAGTTCTAAACTAGTCAGATGGCGACTAAAACTATCTGAATTTGATTATGAGATCAAATACAAAAAAGGAACATTAAACATGAATGCAGACGCACTATCAAGAATTCCTGCAATACAACTTCATGCCATTCAAAAATCAGATCCAGATGCCAGATTAACATCTTCAGATGAAGAATTTCATAAAAAATTAGGATTAATGCTTAATGACACCATTATGTAATGATGAAATCATAACAAAATACTTTACAGATTCTAAAGTATATCTTCCTAAACAAAGCGAGATAGCTAAAGAAAAAGAGATAACAATGTCTGAATCATCTCAATCAACAAAGACAGCATCAGAAAAAGAACCTGAAGAGGAACCTAAGAAAGTAAAACCCAAAATAAAGATATTATCAAAACTAATAATACCTCCAAGAAAAGAGAAAAAAGAAATTCCCAAAGGAGATTCTCCTAAATCTTCGAAAACTCAAAAAAGTAACAGACCAATAACACCAACTAATCGTTCTTCAACAATTTCAGCCCTGTCTGAAAAAGACCAAACAATACGTCTATGGAAAATCCAATATTAGGAGCTCTATATACTAAGAAACATGTAAATATATTTGGAGATCAAATTGTATTTCGATATTCCAATAATAACACAATTAGAAAAGAGATAATCAAACTATTTGGTAATAAAAAAAAAATATTCTTCTTACCAAATAATCTAACAACATCACAAATTACTAATTTAGTAAAGGAATACATGCCACCTGGTATTTATTGCCTTCATTTCCTAAATAAATCCTTAGAACCTATTGTGATACGAGCATTACAAGAATCGTTTAATTCGAATTCATTTACTTTGTACATCTCGAACTCTTTATTAGAAGACATCACAGAAGTTGATCTTCAACAAGAGAAAATTCAGCAATATCACGAGACTAAAACCTCTCATAGAGGAATCACTGAAAATATTGCAGCCTTAAAGAAAAGATTCTATTGGCCCAATATCGTACAGAATTATGTCAAAGTATGCGAGATATGCAATAAAACCAAGTATGAACGTCAACCATACAAAATCATTTTCAAACCAACACCCATTGGTATGAAACCTTTTGAACATATTTATATTGACACGTATATAATCAATAACCAGAAATTTCTGACCATTATTGATAGCTTTTCAAAATTTGGTCAAGCCTCTCCTGTAAATACGAAAACAGCTGTTGAGATATCATCACAGTTATTGAAATATTTTAGTGATCATGGAATACCTCAAAAAATCACATCAGATAATGGAGCAGAGTTCAAAAATGCTATAATGACAGATCTTTGTACATTATACAAAATTGAGTTTCATTACACAAGTCCAAGAAACCCGAACTCGAATAGTCCAATCGAACGAACAAGATAAGTCCGCGTTATGATAGCATTGATAGCAAAACACAGAATCGCTTTGCTAAACAATAGTATATTATGTATTTAGGTGGAGAGGAGAATGTGCTTTTTCACCGATATACACATACTATTTTTTCTGCGATCGGTTAAATTCCTGTTAAATGTTTGTCTTCAGGCTCCAATTATTCAGCAGTACGAGAATCACTTTCCCGGCCTAGGCCGGAAAAGTGTTTCCCGTATTGTTATTCATTGATTCCTTAGCAACTATTGAAACCTGATTGAAATACCAGAATATTGAGTTTTGCGACCTGTCAACTGGTCGAAAATGCTGACATTTCTTGTCAATCGCAGAAAAAATGTTAAACGACAATAATTTATTTCAGGTACTCCGAGATGAATCTTTTATTCCTAACTCTCGTTGGAGTCACCCAAGCGTATACATTGATGACGGTAGAAAATCCTATTTTACCAATCTCTTTAGGAACTACTTACGTAACAACTCAACATAACACGGCTTATTATCACATAAACACGACAATTATCATACAAAGTATCCATAAACTGGAAATTACCTTAATGAAATTATCTGACACTCTTAACAAAACAACATGGTCAAACCAATTTGTTGCACTGTTTCAAACAAATATTGAAAACAGTCATTCTCAAATTAAGATTATGAAACAAGTAATCAGAACCTATCAAGACCGAAAACGTAATAAAAGAGGTCTATTAAATTTCATGGGCACAGCATAAAAATGGCTCTACGGAACCTTAGATGCTGAAGACGGCGCAAGATATGATTCTTATATCCAGACGCTTAATGATAATCAAAAAACTCTCAATGAAGATCTAAAAACACAAGCTCAAGTATTGAAACAAGTTACAAAAACATTTCACGATCAATTTTTAACTATTGAATCTAACCAAAAGGTTATCACAGGAAAATTACAAAATATTTCCTTGGAAAACCAAAATTTCCACTCAATGTTAACTTTTAATCTAAAATTGAACAATATTAATATTCAAAGTAATAAAATAAGGAATCTTATTGATCATGTGCAATTAGCAATAAATTTTGCACAATTGGGAATAATGCATTATACTATTTTACAGCATAATGAATTAAATCAAATATTAGCAAATATACCCAAAAGTCAGCAAATACCTTTTGATAATAAAATCAAGTATTACGAGACAATGAAAACTCAAGTAAAAATACAAAATGAGTTAATTATATTTGTTATACACACACCAATGATTGATCCCAAGCCCTTTATATTGTATAAAATCTATCCAATTCCTATCCAAGAACTTACCATTAGGAATAAGTACCGTTACCTATTACTTACTACGGACATCTACTACAATACTTTATGGGAATGCCCGAAAGTCGAAAGTGTGTACCTTTGTAACCAAGAAGAGCCGAAGCAAGAAGAATCATGTGTCTACGACCTGATTACTGACCTACCACAACAATGTCCTTTCACTAAAGTGAAATATGAAAAACCAACCGTGAGACAACTCCCGAATGGACAACTATTAGTCATCCCTAAGAAAAGTCTGACTATAGTTATTCAATGTGACAAGACAAACCATATGGAAATAATAACAAATCCAACGCTAGTTTCGTTTGAAAAATGCTTTGTGAAAATACAAAATCAAACATTTTCAAAAACCAGCGAGAACTTCAATTTTCAACTGAAGATTCCAAGAATAGACATCCCTGAACTTCCAGAGAACGCAACAACATTGGAACTTCAAGAAATCAACCAAGAAGACTTAGAAGAAGCCTTCAAGACGACGAAACAGATAAGAGTTCATAATCTAAAAGAATTGTCTTTTGAACACTCTTATTTATCTGTTTTAGGAAGTTTAAAACTTCAGAAAAAGGTTGTGCAAATGTGCAAATTGAATTGTCTGATTTGAATTCACAACAATCCACGTTTGCAACATCTTAAGGAGGGAGGAGTTATATTAACCAATTGCCATGCTGATTTATAATCAATTATCTATTTTTTATATGCTTTAATGTGCTTACCCCTTTCCTCTAGGACTTTTTAAATACATTGTTGTAAAGTAAACATCAAATTGCTATGTCGGCATTAAATGATTATTTAAGCCGATGCAGTCCCATAAGGAACGTTCATTTGTTTTCTGGCTTTAGCCTGTAGCAATTTGATCCGAATATTTTCTTTTGTCACCTCTGTATTTTAATCAATAAAATAAATGTTTTTTAAAATACAAGTTTCTGAATCGAAAATATAATTAGCTCTCATAAAGGGCTACAATCCTAAGCGAGTTCAAATTAGTCGAAAAGAAATCTAACATCATTCCAACATGATTCCAATACAGAGAAAAATTAAAAAGAAAATCTCAATTTTTAAGCTTAAATTTTTTTTGAATCCCATTAAAGTTAGGAGCAATTGTCAATACCTCCATTAAAATTTGCGCAATTCAAAAAAAATCATATATGGTTGGAAAGAGCAATAAATTCTCTATAAATTAGTGCTAGATTGAGTTTCATAACTCAAATTCTTTTCGCAGAATTGAGCCTCAAAGGTGTTTTACTCGAAATTTAGTCAAAAACTTAAAACTCGATTTTCTCAAAAACCGTAAATGCCAGTAACTATGTTGGCAACACAAGCCTTTTTTATATAAAAAATTTGAAAGCATTGATAATTTTACATTGTATTGCCAACATAATGTCATTTTGACTTTTACCTTTAGGAAAAAACAAGATTTAATATTCAAAATGAAGGGTTTTAGTTGAATTTAGCGCTTATAGTAAACATGACGTTTCCAATTAAAGGTGTCCAAAGTCCAAATTGGAACACCCTGAACTACTAGGAATTTGTAGAATTTTTGAGATTCAAGAGATTTTCATGAAGATATTCTAGAAATTCCAGAAGTTGTTGAAAGATTTTTCTGGGATTTAATTTAAAATAAAGGATAACGCACACCTAATATGGGATTTTTGGGCTCTATGGATTTTGCCCGTTTTTGTTGTAGAGGATTTAATTCTTAACACCCTTTAAATGGGACGAAATCTTGTAGGTATTACGGTCTTTGAGATATGAGCGTTGAAAGATGAGCTTTTTTGCGACTTTTTGTGTGGAAAGTATACGAAATACTGGTGTTTATCAGTCAAAATATTAACAGGTCCACATATAGGATAGACTAAAAAGTTATTGAATACCTCTACTTATCTTCAAAATTGTGGGCAAATCCTCTTACTTTTGCCCTGAAAAGTTTGCAAAACAAAAGAAAAAAATTATAAGTATAAACAATTTAAAAGCGATTACAGTTCAAACGCACGCTACTGATGAAAAATACGCCGGTAAAACCAGATCTCATATAAATAGACTCCTTACGCTTTTCAAGTTATTGCAAATCAAATTCGACCATAGTCAATGTCAGTCAACATAAACAAATAACAAATAATTATTCGAATTAATTTAAATTTAGTTAGTTGCACAAACAAACAAAAAAATGACAATTATTATTCTTACGTGTGTGATTATAGTATTTTTTTCATCAAGTGCTTCAGGTAAATTTTTAGTGCAACTTGAAGGTAATCCTGTAGTGCCTTCTAGCCCTTGTCCAGATGTATTTGAGTACTTCACTAAACCAGATGGAAATGTTTTTGGTAGAATCACCATCCCTTATGATGGTAGTATGAATTTACATCTTGGGGTAAATGCTTCGATGAAAGGGTATTATACTAGTGATAGTGGAATTGTAAGTATACCTTTTATACCCACTATATTGTTTTTAAATTTTATAAATAAAAATTACAAAGGATCAAAAAACACGTTTGCTATTCCTAATGATGATAGGTAATACCTACGAATCTTGGGATCGATGATTGATGGTTTAATAGAAGGGTACCTATCTATTATAGATTATAATAATAGTGGAATCCTATATACTGGTATATTATACAAATCAAATTCTTTATAAATTCTATACCTGGTACCTACATATAAAAATTCCAACCAAAATACATATATTTAGGTAACAAGAAAAACGTAATTTTTTATTCTTCTACATAGTAGGTATTATCTTGATTGATAGCAATTTCTGATTTACTATTGTCTGGATTATGCAATAAAAAGCAGCTTTTGAATCTGTAAATTTCAATACCAAAGTAGGTTTTTTGTTCTACGTAACAATAATACGAAAAAAAAAAAATAAATGAGGAAATTCCAAGAAATATAAATAGATATGGTTATTTACCTACCCTACTATTTATACCTATGTTGGAAAAATCTAATTATATTATTTTCTGGAAAAAGTTTGATGGCTCTCAAAAAACTATCTCCAGGTTTGTAATAAAATACTAATTATCACACGATAATAAAATAGTATTTATCCAATTCGCTTCTCAAATTAACTATGAATAATTCATAAGTAATTTATCAATTTATTATTCTTTCATAAATAATGTGAAGTGATGCTGGGCAAATGTTTAACATAAGTAGGTACCGAGACTATATCATTTTGTAGGTATACCTAATCAACATTTAAAAATAACGTCTCTAAAAACAATCAACCAGGGAGTGTGACGGAGTGTCTAGTTTTAGTTGACAACAAAAATAAACCGAAAAATTCATATGCGATTCTGAAAACGCAGTTTCTTCCAGAAACAGCATGATTTTTTCATTAATCCATCATGTCTTTATTAAAACTTCTGTCTCAATTTTGTTAAAGCTGGAAGTATATTTATCAAATGGAGCAACTATAAAAGCAAATAGCTTTTTCTCAATTATTGATGTATTTGTTTGTTTCGGCAATTTAAAGGGCATTTTGTTGGTTTTTTCTCGGGTTTAATATATTTTTACCCACGAGCGTGCGGTAAAGTGCACTTTACCGCACTTATTTGCAAATGGAAAGTAGCACTTTACCGCATAGTATGCGGTAAATATGCGGTAAAGTGGACTGCAAAGTATGCGGTAAAGTGGACTGCATAGTATGCGGTAAAGTAGACTTTGGTATTTATGATTAAAAATCGTTTCTTTTCGAGAAAATGCATTTTTGATCATTTCTAAATCTAATCTAATTTCATTAATTGATCTGATTCATTAATTAATAACTTTTTTTTATAAGTAGTGAATAATATACGTAATATACATCCATTTTCTATTAATTAAAGTGAATAATTACTTATACAGTGAATATATTCTTTTTCTTTCCTCAATTGTTTTCAACCAGTGAATATATCTTGGTCTCATTACTCCACTATTTAAGAGCCAATCAAAAAATTCAACCTTCCAATCGGTCATTTTAACAGTTGATTTAAACAAGACTGGTGTTAACCTAACCTAGGGAGATGCGCACGATGTATCGATGTTTCAAAAACATCGATTTTCTTATTTCGATGTTCGATGTTTATATCGATGTTTTTTTATTCGATATTATTAGAGAACATCGATATTTTTTTGCGATGTTTTTTCGATGTTTTCTTCTAAATACTACACCAGTACTTTCAGTTCCTTAGCAAAATTTGATGAAAATCTATTTGTTGAACATTGGGAAGAAATAAAGAGTGTATATCTGCGACTATCAAAGATAGCTTCAAAATACTTGAGCGTTGTAGCAGCTTCGGTTCCATATGAGAGACTATTTTCAAATGCAGGACAAACTTCGACACAACACGAGAATTATGAGGAAAAGGAAAAAAAAATAGTCAAAATTACTGTTCTTGGATAATAATTGTGATTCAAATAGGATTGTTACTCGTATTTATATCATTTAAGTCAAGTATCTTACTAGATTTACTCCCTAGTGCTTAGTTCTTGTTATTGTTTGCTTTCAAATGTACTTTTTCTTCATTATAAATCGTGTATTTATTACGTATATGTATATTATATTAAAAATACATAAGTAGGTTAAGTAAAAATGATATTCTATTTATTAACAGTTTAATTTTTTCTTACCATATTTTTAAAAACATCGATGTTTAGAAACATGGATATTTTCAAGCCGATGTTTTTACAACATCGATTGTGCATATTCGATGTATCATTTGATGTCAACATCGATGTTTTCAAAATTTTGCGCATCCCTATAACCTCACTTTGTTCTCCAGTGCCTGTGTGCCCAGACAATTTTCGCCACCTCCTTACTCCCATTTAAAGTACAAAACTTTAACGCATGTGGATCGTGGTAAAGACGAAGGAAATACCACACAAAAGGGGGCGCTTGACAGTAATAGTTTAGTTCTTGGTTTGTGCGTCAATCGTTCGTCGGCTGTCATTGTCATTGGCTATCTTTCTCCGTTCCTCTACGTAATTGTTTTTTTCTCTCTCGTGTAACGAAATTTGCCAAAACGTGGCGCGTCTTCCAAATCACTCTCCATTGTCGTCCAAATATCAGACCACCGCCTAAGAAGGATCTTTCGGATTAAATGGCCAGACCGACGAACGAACATTAGTGTTTTAGAGGGGGCCAACCCAACTAACTTGGAAGCACTTATCATCAAGCACTAAATTCGCTTGACAGGTCACCTCGTTCGCATGCCCGAAACACGTCTTCCTCGACAGATTTTCTACAGTCAGCTGAAAGATGGAAAACGGAATCCAGGAGGTTAACAAAAACGCTACAAAGATGTTCTAAAGGAAATTTTGGCAAAGTGCCACATCGATATTAAGAACTGAGAGTCGAGGACAAATGATAGGCCCTCGTGGAGTCGAGTAGTCAACGATGGACCACAAACTTCTGAAGAACTGCGACGCAGACACGAGACCGAAAAGAGAGAACGCAGGAAGGAGCGAGAGATCAGAAGAAGAGACACAGAGACTGGGTGGGCCAAGACTGTGGAAAAGTGTGCGGCTCCAGAATTGGTTTAGCCATAAAAACACGCACAATCGACGAAGAATAGAATAGAAGATAATCATACTCGGTATCGAGTGATTGCCTACGATGATGATGATGATTCAACATGCCTAATAAATTTGAGGGTTAAATCACAATTCAGCTCGGGTTAACTTGAATCGAACCCATAATATGAATATTCTTGTTCATGCAACTGAGCCTAGGATGCTGCATTCATACGTTAAGCCAATGAAACCGCATACATTGAATTGAAAATTCGATTCATTAAACCAATGCTATTTGTACATTATATTGAAGAATCTATTTCACTCAGGCAACGAATTCCATACGTCGAAATGATAGAATCCTTACTCTGCGACAATGAATTCGACCGTTAAATCAATGAACCTTTTTTCGTCTATTTAACGAACAGCTTTTCATAATATTAACAAATTCGTTCACCGGCTCAATATTAATGACGAGATTCACTGGCTTAATGAACTTTTTCGTTATATTTGTGTACCTTTTTTTTTCAGTGTGGGTTGCTATAATAGTTACGTGATACTTTTGTCAACAACTGCTTTCTTGATCTAAATTTGACAAAAACTAAGTGAGCATTCACACCAAAGTAGCATGCGACGTGCGACTTGCTGCTAGGAAGCAAAAAGCATGCAACTTATTTTAGAACCTTCAGAAATATATGGCCAGTAAGTCGCACGTCGCATGCTACTTTGTTGAATGCTCAGACGCAATAAATATGAAAATTTATGTGTCAAAATATTTTTGAATAATGTCATTTCGAAATAAAAAAATATATATTTTTTTAAAAAACGAAATGAAAGCATGCTCATCGTGCATAAAATCTTGTATGCACCTCGGTCAAAAAGAGCTTTAACGCCCTCAGCGTTTAAACAGCCCTCGGCTGACGCCTCAGGTTGTTACACACGCTGCGGGCGTTAAAGCTGTACTTTTTGACCTAGGTGTATAAATAACTATTTTGGTGTTCCGATGAACCCGATCACCAACTGATGTAAACTGTCTTTTTTTAATCGCATTCATTAAAGAAAGATGAAAAACAAAAATGCTGGTGATCGAGTCAATCGGAATAGCGTTTTTATGAGAAGCCCTAGGATTCTTTCACAGTGGAAGCGTAGACATACGAATTGTAGAACGCGCGTAAACGCACGTCTTCCCGCGAACGATCTAAGCTACTTGTTTTGAATGCAAGCGCTCACAGTAGCTGCAGATTGATTCGCGCGTATACATGCGTACATTTGCGACTTGCGAACAGATCCTGTTTGGTTGGGATACTTGCGTTTGTTCGCAGTTTTCTTACACGATTCCTCTTGGAGAAAAACTGAAAAAAAATAAACACTGAAAAGCTAATTGATTTAGTACGAGAGCGGAAATATTTATAGGTTCAGCGAAAACCAAATTATCACCATCGTATTTCACAGAAGTCCTTTCTTTTTCACCCATACCTTCCTTTTTTTATGGATGATTCTTCTTCTCAGTAAAGTATTTTCTAGCAAGTATAAATTACGACCAGACATTTTAACTATTTCTATGCATCTAGTTGTTCGCACCTCTTTATTGCAGTCACTGTGCGAACTCAATGCAGATAGACGCATAATCACAAATTCGGACGGTTTCGCGCGTGTTTTTATAATTCGCGCGTATCCGCATCCATTGTGAGAGGGGCCCTATTGTGTAGCCCTGGTGCTGCTTGCGTCAGCGGTCGTAAATCGGACCCATGGATCGGACCGACTGTCAGGACCATACATCTTACATATTACTATCCTTGTGGTGCCGATAAAACTACTAATTTTTAGATACCTAATAGCTTTTGTTGATTTTTTCATTAACTCCTCAACTAGGAAAATTATATACATGTCGGAGAAGCAGAAGCTGACGCGTCACCGTCC